ATTCTGGGGCAAATGAAAATGAATCAGTGGTGTCAACTCCATTTCCTCTCTTCCTAATTTTCTGTAACAAAAGAGGAGAGGGAAGCGTCTATTCCCTGGTGTGAGATTCACTTAGGAAAGTGAGAGACAGATGAATAATTGGTGATGCCCTATTCCTCATTCTCACTGTTGTCTCCAGCTAGAAAATCATTCTTTGTACCGAATAAATATTTAAAGTCACACAAAATACAGCAGCTGGACATATTTATGTTTCTAACAAAATATACTCATGACTTGGTGTGGGAAATTAAGAGGAAAGCACATTTTTTTTTCAACGTTTATTTATTTTTGGGACAGAGAGAGACAGAGCATGAATGGGGGAGGGGCAGAGAGACAGGGAGACACAGAATCAGAAACAGGCTCCAGGCTCCGAGCCATCAGCCCAGAGCCCGACGCGGGGCTCGAACTCCCGGACCGCGAGATTGTGACCTGGCTGAAGTCGGACGCTTAACCGACTGCGCCACCCAGGAGCCCCGAGGAAAGCACATTTAAAGGCAATAAAACCACAAACTCAGGTAGACCTCAGGCTAACTGAAGTAATCCTTCCCAGTCTCCCTTATCTGCAGAGATAGGAATATAACACAGTGCTGTCGATGCTTCAGCAATGAAATAAGACAGAGCAGCTGGCAACCAGTGGCATTTGCAATAAAATCAACATGAAGGTATCTTGACCTTGGATTCAGAATGCAGTTTACTTATGTACAGAGTTGACAGTTCAAAAGGACTAAGTTGTAACTTCAGTCCTAGCTGTGTCTTCCTGGTTCCATCACTGAACCCAAATCTGCAAAATGAAGGCTCTGCCTATGACCCAGAAATTCTCTTCCTCCTCTGCAATCCCTAGTGTGTGGAACTGGTGGACAGGTGCTAGACCAATGTGGAGATTCTTTCAGTGACGATGTCTATTCCAATTATGCATCCTGGAACTGGGAAATGACCATAGGATGGATTCAGTGGGTACCGTGGGTCCCGCTTTGAGACGGACCTGAGCTACAGCTCCACGATCTCCCAAGCACCATAAGCCCCTACTCTGACTGGTGAGCCTCAGTGACAGTTTGGATCTCCTGGAATTAGTGTCACTTCAGAGCCAGTGCCTAGTAAGCCCCCTCCCCCCAAAGTCTGATTATCTCCTTTCCCCTCAGCAGTGTAACCCTGGCAAAAGGCCATAAGTCTTTTGGGGAAGGCTGAGTGAAAGAGTAACAGTGCATAGTTTCAGTAGTATACTAACGTCCTGAAGAGACCGTCTCCCCTTTCTTTGAGGCATTCTGGGTCTGTAAACTGGCTCAAGTCAGGGAATTCACTGATGGGCCATGACTCTCTCATGAGCCTCATGACTTTTATGATTCAAGTTAAGCTTTCATTCACTTGACCTAGAATTCTTCTGCTTATCCAGACCAACTAAGACTATAGCAAGCTTCCTATCTATTTCAGTTCTGGCAACACCACAATCAAGTGGCCAATACAACAGGTCTAACCACCGGTGGGACTGGTGTCCTTTACAGGTAAGGATGCCCACCTTGCCTTGAGCAGACAGGCCCCATCCTCTTGGAATTTACAAGCTGGAGGAGGAGAGAAATTAACACATGAAAAGCAAATATTTGCAGGTTCTGTAGTGAGAGCCACTGGAAGGGCTGGTCTCAGGATGCCCTGGTCTTTCTGATGCCCTGAGCTCTAAGGGTTCTGGGAGAACTTCTGATAGCAGAAAAGATGGCATGAGCCATAGTCCTGGGAAACACATGGAGCATTGACAGGTCTGAGCATCAGAGACCCATGAAAGAAAAACACCAACCTTCTGAAACCTTATTTCCTTGGTCATCTAGTTTTACTCAGTTTAGAACTCAGATCAGATGGGGATGACGGGAGCTCTTAACTAAGTACAAACAACAAGATCTCTGGAGAAAGCAGAGCCTTGGCTGAACTGGCCCAGAGATTCAGAGAGTGAATCAGGGTGTCCAGATGGAACTTGAGAGATGCCGAGAAAAGCCCTCTATCACAGAGAGAGCGTCTCACATGTAGTGTGTAGGTGACATGGCTCATAAACTCAGCCAAGGAACAAAGATAACTTTCTCCATTTTCCTTTACAACTTCATTTCTCCAGTCCCCTCAGCAGCTGGATCCCACAAAACTCTGGGTATTTTGCACCTGAACTTCCCCTTCAGCTCCCCGCCCCCCCCCTGCCCCCCAGCCTAGGGAGTCTCCATCTCTTTTCACAAAAGAAGAATCAGGCTGGAAAGCCTGAATGACTCTCCTAAGGTCCCAGTAAAGGGCAAGGGTGTGGTGAACTTGGATTTCTGGACTCCCAGCGCTGTGCCAACTTGGCGAAGGCACAGTGCGTTAGCCTCTGGTATCACAATTTATGGAGCCTAGCTGAGTTAGCAATACACAGACTGTGCTTTGCCAGGTAGATTATGTTATTTAGAAGTCAGCAGCCCTGAACTGCTGGCTGAGGAATTATTTGTCTGCGACAGGGAAGAGGATGATATCCTGAATGTATCCAGGCAGTGTCTGCTTCTGTACTGCCCTTGAATTAACTTCTAGGCAGTCCATTAGCCTGGAGTATTTTGCAACCACCATAATAGCCCTTTTCTCTGCAGTCAATTGGGTTGACCACGTCATAATCCAGAACTGGCAATTAAAACTGCTATAATGATGACCACAGTCGGGGACTTTTGAGTCCATGGATATCACTGCAATTTCTTGGATACGATTGTAAATGGAAAGGACTAGAAGGTTCAGAACTTAGGTGTTAGCCTTTTCGCGGAAGGCTTGTGGTATTACATCGGTAAGAAAAAGTAGAAAGGAGACTTAGCCTTTCCTGGTGGCAAGAATGCCTTATCCTATGGACCCCAAGAAGGTCCTTTAAACAAATAGCCCCAGACAACACCTGTTCTTCCTCAGGTACCCCGGCTCACTCAGCATTAGGTCTGCTGCAGCCCTTTGAATCCATGATCCAAATTACCTCCCCAGGTTGCCCTGTGTATCGCCAATATCATACAGAGCTCTGAGCACCAAGGGTCCCCTCTGCTGAGGAAAGGCCTTCTTGCTCTATCATTAAAAAGCAAATTATTGATTCTGATAATTTGTTTCTCAAGGAAAAAATATTCTTACACTTTCCCAAACTTTCCAATTTTCTTGGTTTATTGCAATGATCTACTGGAATGTCTTCACTCTAAGGAGAGCTCTTGAAATTTGGGCAAGTTAATCACATATTTGCAAAGTGCCCAATGTGTGCAGAGCATAGCATATGAAGGTCTATAAGAAGATGAAAGAGCACATTAGAAAAATCTGTGGATAACCCACCAATCTCAATATGCACACACATCTTGTGGCATAAACTGATGTAAAAGTCAAATATTTTGAATGAGTTATAAAAGTGATGCATTAGTCTACATGTGGAAATCTTTGAACTCTTGAAGTAACCAGTTATACAGTCTTTCCCTCTGATGCCTTATGTTTCTCTTTATTTTAGCTGTGATTTTAAAGCACTACTTTATGTAATTAAGGAAGACCTGATTTAGTTCTTTGATCTTCTCTTTTGGCAAAACTGTGTTTTCCTGTGTGGGTACCACTCTCATCAACAACCACAACTAATATGCTTCTCAAATTCATAACCCAGGACTGTCTCCTTTCTTTTATTCAGTTATTTACTTTTATTTTATGTTATTCCTATAGATTCATCTTGTGACAGATACCTCAGAAAGAACGTCTCTAGCGAAAATAAAGTTCTCAAACAGAAACTTTGTATTTTTACTATTATTTTCCTTGTTGAAGCAGAGTATCTTGGACTCTCCTAATTAAGCTGTTGGGTTTTCCTAAGCTGTGGATTCACTTAGGGTAGTAACAAGTGCTTCAAGCTCTTTAAAGAAAATGGCTCCACCATTGGCTATACAGCTGTCCCCCATTATCTGCAATTTCACTTTCCCCAGTTTCAGTTACTTGTGCTATCAGTTCCTCGTGGTCAACTGCAGTCCAGAAGCAGACAATCTTCCTTCTGACTCATCATCAGAAGGTCAATAGTAGCCTAACACTACATCACAATGGCTACATCATTCACCTCACCTCATCTCATCATGTGAGCATTTTATCATCTCACATCATCACAAGAAGAGGAGAGAGTACGGTACAATAGGATATTTTCAGAGAGTATATTCACATAACTTTCATTACAGTATATTGTTATAATTGTTCTATTTTTATTAGTATTGTTGTTAATCTCTTACTGTGCCTAATTGGTAAGTTAAACTTTACCATATATATATATACATATATATACACACACACACATATATATATATACACATACACATACATACATACATACATACATACATAAAAAAATAACCTAGCACATACAGGGTTCAGTACTATCGGCAGTTTCAGGCATCACCTGGAGATTTTGGAATGTATTCCCCCATGGAGAAGGGGGAGCTATGGTACTATGCCATTGCACTTGGCTAACAACACAACTTCTGTTAATTCAGTAAAAATCAGGAACTTATAAAAAGAATGTATTACATCTCAAGAAGTAAGGCTTCCTACCAAGTTAAATACGTTGTTAGCATAGATCAATAAAATAACATCTGCTTGAGACACACTCATACTGGATTTAAGAGCAAGCCTGAATGGTTTGAACCTTTAACTAGCTCATAATAGGTAGGACCTTAGCTATTTCTTGCTTAAATTAAATTTTCAGAAGAAAAAGCACTTATGAATGCATTCTGACATAGATTCCACTTAAAGTAAAACCATTTCCTGGAAGTAAAATACTAAGAGAATCAGCCACTAGAACATAGATGTATTCTCTCGTCTCTCCTGTACTTACGGGTCGATAATTATATTTCTAAGAACCAATACTGCAGTTCTTAAGAGATAATTTTTCAGTAATGAGGTCCTCTAGAGTGGAAAACATACACAATTATGAAGAATAAACATATTGCTATAAAATATGAAGGAAAAAACCTTACCCGAATCCAGAAAGTAAGCGACAGAAGAGAAAAAATCCATAACCTTGGACAAAGGATGAAAGGAAGGCAAAAAATCCGTTGATAGACATGCAGATCAAAAGAGACTGCTTCCTCCCCACTTTGTCTGCCAGTCCTCCCCAGAAGAAAGCCCCTGCCATCATCCCGAGGTACACTATGCTGCCTGCAACACACAGAAAACAAAGAAACATGTCAGAGATTGGGAGCAAATGACACATGTAAGAGCAAATGAACAAGAGACAAAATACATTTCAGCATTTGTATGGGAAAAATTTCCTTTAAAAAATATATCCTTCACGGGTGCCTGGGTGGGTCAGTCGGTTAAGTGCCTAACTCCTGATTTTGGCTCAGGTCATGATGTCATTGTTCATGGGATTGAGCCCTGTGTCAGGTTCCTCACTGACAGTGCAGAGCCTGCTTGGGATTCTCTCTCATTCTCTCTCTCTCTCTCTCTCTCTCTCTCTCTGCCCCTCCCCTCCTTGCTCTCTATCTCTCTCTCTCAAAATAAATAAATATATATATATATCCTTCAGGATACACAAATCATCTTTCAAGTTGGAAAGTAATCTCTCTGTGGGCTACCTTTAGCTGTCATGATCAATGACAAAGGCAAAAGACAAAACTGCAATGTTCTCACCAACCTCGTGATAACGGGTACATGGTGCACAGGCACAAGGAGGCTCCGCCCAGAACAATCCTGGAGTTTGACTCTCAGGCATGTCACCTTTGGTCCAAATGCCCAGCTTAGCACCATGACAAGGTCAAGATGGGAGACTGAGTCAAGGGGTCCCTGATCAAATGGGTCCCTCAGCCTGCTTCAAATCTCTGCCTTTAGCAGATGAATGGACCAAGGCCAGACTCTTATGGACTCTCTAGAGGATTCCATGTGTCTTTCTCTCTGATTTCCCCTGAACATCCTGGCCCTTGCTGGGGAAGGTAGGTTTAGAGATTATAAGAATTAATCTTAAAATAGTCTCAAACTTTGCTCATAAGAGAAAATATTCTCTTGGATCGGAAGCTTAAGGAGTCTAAGGAGAAGAAAAACAACTGTTGTAGTTTGGGAACTGTTAAACTTATTATGGTTGGCTTTACTTCCATAGTGGAAACAGATGCAAAATCAAGAGTTATATCGATGTCCCTCTTGGTGTCATTGTGAATACACACGTGAATTTTCTAATTCATTTGCTTCTTCTAAAAAACCAGGCCCCCAGAAGCCCTGTCCTGAATCTTTCTCAGGATGAAATAATATGAGGTATGGAAAAGTTACTTCAGGGAAGTTTCTAAAAGGGTGTGCCAATGTCTAGGGGGAAACGACATAGTTAATAAATGAAAGTCTGTTCTATCTGGATGTGGCATTTAAAAAGCTGCTACAGGGGCGCCTGGGTGGCTCAGTCGGTTAAGTGGCCGACTTCGGCTCAGGTCATGATCTCACAGACTGTGAGTTCGAGCCCCACGTCGGGCTCTGTGCTGACAGCTCAGAGCCTGGAGCCTGTTTCGGATTCTGTGTCTCCCTCTGTCTGACCCTCCCTCGTTCATGCTCTGTCTCTCTCTGTCTCAAAAATAAATAAACGTTGAAAAAATTTAAAAAAAAAATAAAAAGCTGCTACAACATCTCACAACCATTTCTGCTTTTCCCCCACTTCACCAAACCACCCCTTGAACAGTTCCTTTTCAAAGGCACATTCAAGATACTCAGCAGCATTAAAGTAACAAGTTAAAAAAACACAATTTATTGCTTCAGATTAGTTTGGGAAATATCCTATTTAAAAACTCACCCTGAATTCATTTGCTTAATACACAGCTAATGGATCAATTTGAGACCCAGAAGGAGAACATCTGGTAAAGGCTGATGACCTTGACATCAATGACCTATGGATGCTGCTTTGCAGATAGCTGAGTATGAGCAGCTACAATGGATGGCAAATTTTGGAACAAATGTGCAGGAAGACAAAACAAAAGCCATTTTCATTTAGACGGGGATACTGCAAATGGGTGAGTGGTCATCCTCTGCCTTGGTGGGAATGACATGTTTTTCCCTTTACTACGGAGCTAACGATACAGAGATCATCCTTCTCAAAAAAAAAAAAAAAAAAAGATACTCAAATCACGAAGCCCAGTGCATGGTCACCAGACAGTTTAAACACTGTATCAGCACAAGGCAAAGGAATTCCCAAAGGAGACAGATTCACCTAGGGAAATGCATATGAAGCAATCTCTTATTTATAGCATAAGAGGCTCAAGTTGGCTACTCATGCCTCTCAGAAGAATAATCAGTAGCAAAGCTTTTCATAATACCTGTTTCTTTAAAAATGCCTACAGACCAGAAGGTGAGCTCCCATAGATCAGGAGGGGCCTATGGCTGCTGCAGCCTAAAGATGTGGCAGTCTTTCTTGTAGTCCCAGCCCCAAAGACAAAAACTGGTCACCAGCAATTGCTGAACCCTTACCAGCTCTAAGTGCATGATTAATGTATTTACTCCTCACAACAATCCTTTGAGGTTAATACTGCGGAACCCAGTCACTGGCACAGAGAAGTTAATGATTTGAACATCGAAAAGTTAGTGGTGACTACGTCCCAGCCCATCAGCAGTTCTTTGTGTAATGTTGTTAACGACTCCTTTAACAATCCTGGCTGCCCTCCTGTGAAAACATCACAGTTCGTCCAGGCCCCTCTGTGGGGGTACCATCTAGAACTGAAAGCACTATTTCACATGTCTCTGAGGTGTCTTCTCCTTAACTCACAGAATTAGAGTTAAGTCCAGGGTAGCAGAGTATGATAGACAGGAGCGAGGGGCAAATGCTGCCTCATTCTTCCCAAGCATATGACAAGGGGTGCACCCCTTGTTCTCTGACATTCCAAATGGGCATGTCCCCAGCCATTGATGGGAGGTAGGGGGGTCAATGCTGAAAATAGCTCAGTGGTGCCAAGGAAAAATGAAAATCTAGTGTTCTTGCTAAAAATGACATGCAGTGTTTCAGAGGAGGGCAACTCCCTCCATTGTCTGGTTGTAGGAGGCATGATGCTCCTGCTGGACTGGGCTCTATATCCTAGCATGCTCCTTATTCTTAAGTCGGTCACCTGTTGCCTCATCTTCACTAAGCCAGACCACAGATTTATGAAGTCATGATTCCAGCACTTTAAGGACTCATAACTCATTGCTAGATTTTCCCACCTGGCAGTAGTATGAGAACACGGCCCCACCATGGGAGCTTCTTAAAGCTCAGGTACAGTAAAGGCTGCATGAGCTGGGCTTGCCCTTGACTTCCGGAATGGAGACAGCTCAGTGATTTGACAAGGGGCAGAACACCCTCATTTATCGTTAGCACTGTGTACTTCAGCAACCCCAAAATAATACTCATTAGAGATTTTAATATATAAAAGAGTAAAATAAAAATGGCCCATCCTTCAATTCCTCTTTCCTTATTTATAAAAATATATAATATATATACTATTTATATTTTGTATTTGCATAATATTTATCTTTTCTCTTGTGTTTGGGATTTCCAAACTTAGCAAACCAGAAATAAATCTGTCAGAAATTTAATAACTATACTTAAAGATACATTTAATATATTTCAGAAAAGCATCCACTATAACTACTAGGGGAAAATCAAACAGTTATTTTTCTGTCTTGTATTTTTTCTATGCCTAAAATAAATATGCCTCAATCTCCTTAAAAGAGAGAATACTAAATTCAATTTTAAGGAACTTATTGAGCGCCCACTATGCCAGATTTTTCCTGAAGTGCTAGAAATATAAGGATTTATAAGTCCTGATCCCTGAACTTACAAAAGAAAAACTTAGCAAACCTTTATCTGATGCCTACTTGGAGCCAGGCAAAGAGGCAGACAGTTACACACCCAGTATTTTACACAACCGTCCCAACCACCCCATCTGATCGTGGCCACTGATGAGTGGAGCATCCAGGCCAAAACCTTCCATGGCTTCCTGGGGACATATGACCAGGACAAAACAGTGCTGAAGTGCACCCTCAGGGACCTGAGTTCCAAGTCGCTGAACTCTTTCTATTCCATCCAGATGGCTTAAGGAGCTCATAATTCAGTGAGGGAGACATCAGGCACATAACAGAATGAACCCAGCCATGAAGTGTGTGCTCCAGTGGAGGCGTAACTGGGGCAGGGGGACGAGAGGTGGCTACTAATTCTGACTGTGGCATCTGGGAAGAGTTCACTGAGAACAGAATATTTGGGAGGATTCTGAAGGATAAGAAAGATTTCAAGATGGCATTAAATTCCTCCACAACTGATAGGTTTAGCAAAATGAAATGTAGTGTCAAGTTGTATCTTCACTTCTATTTTGGCTAAAAATATGTTTCACATCTAGGGGCGCCTGGGTGGCTCAGTCTGTTAAGGTTCTGACTTCAGCTCAGCTCATGAGCTCACGGCTGGTGAGTTTGGGCCCCGCATGGGGCTCTGTGCTGACAGCTTGGAGCCTGGAGCCTGGAGCCTACTTGGGATTCTGTGTGTGTGTGTGTGTGTGTGTGTGTGTGTGTGTGTGTGTGTGTCTGCCCCTCCCCCGCTTATACTGTGTGTGTGTCTCTCTCTCTCTGCCCCTCCCCTGCTTACACTGTGTGTGTGTCTCTCTCTCAAAAATACATAAACATTTAAAATATTAAAGAAAGAAAATGTTTCAGATCTAAAGATAACAGTCTTTTGATCATACGCTGCATATTATTGGTAATTAGACTGTCCCTCTGGGTATGCCATGGACAGGATTCAGCCTCTCCACTAGCTTATTGGAGACAAACAACACAATTAGAGGATTTATTTGTGGATTTTATGACCTAATTATAAGACAAACCTTTGAATGTTAGCAAGGGCACGAAGTGAATAAAACTGGAAACACTCTGAGATTGTCAGAATCCAAATTGTATTTCCTGGCTTGTTTTCATATTTCTATTTTGTCTTCCCTGTATGATGATGAGGATTCTCTGAAAACGCAGAGCAGGGATATGCTTTTGACACAAACCAGCCTCCTGCTCTCCACACTTCATGATGCTGCTAATGGCCAGAGTTCAGAGGTCCCTTATCTTACGGACGGAAAAACTGACGCCGTGAGAAGCCAGTACCTGAAATCAAATCTTCTAGATCCTTGCTCCTCAGAGTATGACCTCTGAACCAACAGAACCGGCACCCTGGAGGCACATGCTAGAAATACGGACTCTTAAGGCTCCACTCCACCCCTACAGAAGTCAGAAGCTACATCTGAACATGATTCCCACAGATCTGTGCACACTTAAGAATCTGAAAGCACTTTTAGGCTGGTGTGCTTTCCATTAAAACACTTAACCTTTCTAACTTTTTTTTTTTTTTTTACTTAAAGTTTGTATTCGTGTAATACATATTTGACAGGAGGAGATGTGGGCTATCGCATATTTTAATTCCAAAGACACAGAACAAGCAAGATCTCCCTACACCAGCTGCAGATGTGTCAAGGGCAAGGAGAAACCTTGTGCCTCCCCTAGGACCTGCCTGCCCAGGACTAGCTAGAGGCAGAACTCCAATGTGAGAGGCCAGGCTGTGACTCTCAGATCCTTTCAGGAATTGAATGAAGATTCTAGTTCAGCTGGGCTTCCAGGAGGCTCAACCTGACCTGAGGCTCACTCTACTCTTACCACAGCTCAGGCTCAGTGCACCCGACCCAGCCTCTCATTCTTTCAGAAGACCAAAAGAGGCCTCAGGCATGACTTCCTCACTAAAGCATTTTCTAACATGGGGGCTGATTTCATTTATTTAATCATACCCTCATTTCCCCTGATGAATATCACATTTCCATTTCTGTCTCTTTTCTAATAAGCTGCTTTTGATTCTTTATGACAATACCTAAGGGCCACATCTTCTCCCCCAGCACCATTTTAAACCACATTTAAACTAAGCAGAACAATTTTAAGAAATGTATATAGTAGTTTTTCTCATAGAAATGTTTAACCAGGTTTTTAAACGTTGTTTTAAGCACTTCAGTTATCCAGGGCTAATGCATTACTCTATAATTCATTGCAGCATTTATTTACAAATTGGATTTCTGCAAAAATCATTCTGTGGCAGTATTCTGAATTCAATGATAAATAATCTCCATGAGGCAATGATCACATTCACCTTTTAAAAGGGAATTTTCTTAGGCTAAAACAAATTTTCAAGTCAAAGAAAAATAAAAATAAGCCTAATTTGAAAAGATATACAGACCCCTTATGTTTATTGCAGCACTATTTACAATAACCAAGATACGGAAGCCACGGAGGTGTCCGTTGATATATGAATAGATAAGGAAGATGTCACACACACACACACACACACACACACACACACACACAGGAATATTATGCAGCCATAGAAGGATAAGATTGTGCCATTTGTGACAACATGGATGGAACTAGAGGGTATAATTCTAAGTGAAATAAGTCAGACAGAGAAAGACAAATCCTGTATGATTTCACTCATATGTGGAATACAAAACAAAACAAAACAAAAAGAAAACAGAAACAGATCCATAAATACAGAGAACAAAGTGGTGATCGCCAGAGGACAGGGAGGTGACTGGATAGGCAAAATGGGTGTAGAGAAGTCAAAGATACAGGCTTCCAGTTATGGAATGAATAAATCCTGGGGATGAAAGGTACAGCAGAGGAAGTATAGTCAGGGTATTGTATTAGTGTTGTATAGTGATGTATGGTAGCTAAACCTGTGGTGAACATAGCACAATATAAAGAACCGTCAGATCGCCAAGTCGTGCACCTGAAACAAATGTAACATCGTATGTCAACTACATACACTTCAACTAAAAACAAAGACGGCTATGCTGCAAGAGAAGTTGGACTTGGGCCATAGCCACACCCCTGTGATAGGATCTATAGTGATACATGTGAAAAAGCCAGATTTCAGACTGTTGTTATTTGAATACACATGCAGATAAGTGCTGCTTTTTCTAAAGGCTATGATCAGATTTTAGAATCGTTGTGTTTTTTTTTGCCTGCCACACTTGGATTGGATAGAGTACTGGACATAAACTTAGCCTTTGGCAGATACACTAACTTTTTCATGCAGGAGTCTATCTCCACAAGGTATCACTTATCAGAGGAACTTGTTCATACAGCAGTATTTGGCCTAATATTTCTTTTTTCTTTTTAAAATTTTTGTTTAATGTTTATTTATTTGGGGGAGACAGAGACAGAGTGGGGGAGGGGCAGAGAGCTGGAGACACAGAATCTGAAGCAGCCTCCAGGTTCTGAGCCGGTCAGCACAGAGCCTGATGTGGGACTTGAACCCACGAAGCACAGGATCATGACCTGGGCCGAAGTCGGACACTCAACCGACTGAGCCACCCAGGCACCCCTTGGTCTAATATTTCTTACACTGAGAAATCTTTACATCCTGTCTGGCTAGGGGAAGTTAAGGGGAAGGGTCTGCGGCCTGTACAACTGAAAGGTGTACTCAAGATGAGGAGACATACGAACCTTCTCTATTCTGGCAAGGTGAACAATCCTTTGGGACTTTGAGCATGATTCCTTTTTGTGTAAGGTCCTGAAATGCTAATAGTACTATTGGTGTGAAGTAAAGAGAGAACAGAAGAGAAGGGAATGGTTATGGAAAAGAGACAAGAGGAGGAAAAAGGGGGGCTCGGGATGGTGTAGAAAGGGCAATTACAGCTTTTGGCCTCCCTTAGCTTGAGTTCTGAAAAGACACCACCTGAAACAGTACTGGAAGAGTTATGTAATTTTTATGTCTGAAAGACTTGTTGTATGTATTTATTCATTTGCATTTTGAAATGATTTGAATAAATAAATAATAAACTGAGTAAATTCAAATCAATTAATTTAAATAATTAATAAATAATTAATAGCCTTCTCTTAACCAACCTCTCACTTTTTCTAATTACTGTTTTTAGTAGCCACAGGTAAGGGCCATTATGTGTCCAAATGCATCTGCGGACTTTCACAAAATCAAATGCAAGTATGGAAAGTGAAAATATCCAAGGCATATGTACAGATGAAAAAGAAAAACCCTTCTAATTTGCAATGGAGAACATCTGCAACAAAAGTCGGCTCACCTTTGCTGGAAAGAACTGTAAATATCAGATGCAGTCTACAGCACATTTCTGACTTACCTTTGGGAAGTCTGACATTTAAGTCCTGTGCTGCAGGCAGAGACCGATGCAGCCAGCTGCTTGCACACGCAGGGAACACTGCATCAAATAGCATTACTACTTGTTACCTAAGTCTACCTGGGAACTGAACAGATTCCAAAGGCCCAAAGACACTCTCACTGAATCCAGAGAACCAAATGCAGGAGGAGAGACCTTATGAGGAAGCCCAGTCTTCTCTAACACCCTTCCCCAAATGGGTAGTATCTAGCATGCCCACTGGATAGAGGAAGAGATACTCAAATATATTTTATATATATAGCTCTGGAGGCCCCAAAAGGGCTATTTCAGCCCCCTTGCTGTTCAAAGCATTAAAGACACAAGTCTTGGGAATGAAGAACATTACAGAAAGTCATTTTGTGGTATGCCATGAGATCACCTATTGGTTCCATACCAATAGGACCTCTTTCTCTGCATAATTCCCCTACTCCAGGCCTGTGCTAGGGGAGAGAAGTGGTAACTGAACACTTGTTTCAAAAATCCCAATCAATGAGTCAACAATGAGCAGGTGGTCATTAATTCACAGCTCTTAGGTGAGCTCCTGCTGTAAGTCAGGCATCCTTTGAGCTGTGAGGATAGGGGAAGGGAAGAAGAGTGAGGAACAGTGAGGAGAGGTCCACAAAAATGAAACTGGCATGGACCCTACTCTTGAGCAGCTCACAGTCTTTTGCAGTGGTTTCAGACAGTGGCTGCACATCAGAATCATCTGGGGAACTTCAAGAAAAAGAACAGTGATGTCCAGGCCATACCCAGGGATTCTGGTTCTGGGATAGGGCTTAAGTCTTCCTTCCTTCCTTCCTTCCTTCCTTCCTTCTTTCCTTCCTTCCTTCCTTCCTTCCTTCCTTCCTTCCTTCCTCCCTCCCTCCCTCCCTCCCTCCCTTCCTCCCTTCCTTCCTTCCTTCCTAAATCCAAGTTAGTTAACATATAGTGTAATAATGATTTCAGGAATAGAATTTCATGATTCATCACTTATATATAACCCCCAGTGCTCAACCCAGTAGGTGCCCTCCTTAATGACCATCACCCATCCCCCCATCCCCCCCATCCTACACCCTGCCAGCAACCCTCAGTTTGTTCTCTGTATTTAAGAGTCTCTTACGATTTGTCTTCCTCTCTGTTTTTATATTATTTTAGGCAATGGTACTTTAAAAACTTGCCAAATGATTCCAATATGAAGCTGGGGCTTTGAACCTTTGGTTTCCTAAGAGATTAAACACACGCAAAAAATTAATTACCATTAAATGAAACACATGCTATAATTAAGGTGAGTACATTATGCTTAAGGGGAAAAAAAGGAAGGAGCGACTTAATTAGTTCCGCGGAATTCTGAAAAGCTTCCCAGTGAATAATGGTAGGTCATGCTGAGTTTAGACCAAAGAGTAAGAATGCTCCCAGTTAGCCAGGGAAGTTCCAAGGGAAAGAAGAGGACTCAGTTAAATGGTTGGGGAGTGTGTGAGAGCACAGCACACTAAGGGAACTCCAGATAGTTGGGGATGCATGGGGTGCAGAGTTCATACTTGGGGACAAGAGTGGCAGGAGACTGGGATGGAAGACAGCCTAGAGTCAACCCAAGGAGATAGCCTTTATCCATTGGGAAACTAAGAAACAGGCTGGATATCACTGGAGCCTGAAGAGGTCATTCATCAACTGCAGGAAGTGGGGAAGGATGGAGGGGAACATCTAGGGTAAGGCAACTGAGGCCCGAGGGGCCTGGAGCACAACCTATAAGGAAGTAGTAACTCTCAGGTGTCAACTCTGCACTTGTGAAGCCCTGAAAGTAAGTGCTTCCTTAAATTTGTGCTCCAGGCCCTGCCCAGGGGAAAAAAAGACTGCCTTCAGGAATGCCCTGGGAAGGAATGGGGGCAACCTGACCTAAGGCAGGGGCCGTGGGCTTGGAGGAGATTCACAAGGCTGGATGTATTTTTAGTGGTCAGAGACCATAGTTGTTGTAAACCGAAGAGCGACACAAGGAAGAGTAGAATAGCTTGGGAAGAATCATAACAAAATTTATAAAGAGAGAATACAACAGGAGAGCAGGCCTGACAGGCCAGTGTCTTAAACAAGCGTGAAGGAAGTCCACATTGGTAACATTCACTACACTGCATGAGAACAGGGCCAAATAGAGCAGCACAGGTAACACAGGTGAATCAATAAGGCCATGATCAGTATAGCTCATCTTCAGGAATGCTTCATGAAGGGAGCAGGGCTTGAGTTGAATGTCAAAAGAAGGAGACCGTGAGTAAGAAGACAGGCAGGATGGCCTTTTGCATCCCCTCAGACATACACAACAGCAGGGGCAAGGTGTGGAGTGGGAAAGAGCAGAAGCAGGAGGCTGGACAGGTAAGCGAGGGTATGCAGCCTGGTAAGAGTGGCTGGGTTGGGTGTATGGACAAGTACGATTAAGCGGGATAAGTGAGAGAAAAACCCTTAGATACGAGCCCCCCCCCAATTTTTTTTGAGTAATTACATAGACAATGGGGAGCCACTGATGGGTTCCTGAATGTGGAATTCAGGCAATCAAAGCCCTAATGTGAAAAGATCAGGACATTTAGAGCAGGATGGGCAAACTTGTTCTGTAAAGGTCCAGACAGCAAAGACTATGTTTTAGACTTTGCAGCCTCTGCGTGTTCTGTCACAACTGATCAACTGTGCGGTTGCAGCATGAAAGCAGCCACAGAAAATAACGTAAGCAAATGGGCATGACTATGTTCCAGCGAAACTATTTACAAAGACATGCAAAGAGTGGGACTTGGCCCATAGGCTGTAGTTTGCAAACCCCCACTTCGAGGAAAAGTTTGCTTGGAGCAGTGCTGAGGGCAGGTGTGTGAGGACGGAGCTGGCCAGAGGAAGTATCTGAGAGACCAGAGAAACCCTAACACCAAGGCTGGGGTGGTGGCAGCATAGCGGGCAGTTTAGAGCCTTGTGAAATGTGGGATTTCTCTGCAAAGATGAAGGAAAGAGAGGACAGAGACCCAAGGATCAACCCCTGAGGAACAGCCACAGGAAGAGAAGTAAAAGAAGTCAGAGGTAAGAAGGTGTGGTCAAGGAAATGGGCAGAAGGCCTGGATGGAGCAGAGAACACCTCAGAAGAAAAGGACAACAGGAAAGGTGGTTTCTCCTCGGATACTGTGGAGTCCAGCAAAGGGCTTCTGCTCCTGGAAGAGTGGGCTATTCTGGAAGAACGGTGCTATCACGCGTCTCATTTCTGGAAAATGCACGAGAAACAGGCTTAAGAGAAATTCCTTACTCTCAAGTACACCTGCCAGCAATGAAACGATTTTTTTTCCCCCAATGGAGCCTCTTTTATATGAGCACGGTGAACAAACAAAGCACAGAAATCTAAAAGCAAGGGTACTTTAGAGGACCAGACGGGCAAATAATCTTGGAGCTGTGTCCGTATCATACCTTTTGATATTTCAAGCAACTGAAAAATGCCTGAAGGGGAAGGGCTCCTGCAGCTTAACTCAGGCCATTTCCAGACACTGGGGATGTGACTGTGTGGTAGGAAAACAGGTCTGAAAATAGACTCAAAGATCACACCGTGCTTGATCAATACTGACTACAAAATGATTACACAAGTCCTCCATGACCCCTTTCAGAAAATTATGCGGAAGTTTCTTTTTGCTGCTGGGGTTTTTTGTTTTTTTAACTTTAGGTGTGAGGTATCATAATGAAAACCAGACTAGGTCGTAATCGATTCCAGGAAATGTCTAAAGAGAGAATTCCATAATCCATTTCTGATGCTCCAACATGACCTTTTGTTTCCCCAAATAGGCAGCTACCTAAGCCGTCAGCCCAGAGCACTGAGTGAATAAATATCAGGATCGGCCTTGCACTAAAGGATATTGGTCCTAATCCATTACTGCTGGCGAAGCCGAGGTGAATTCAGGGCAGCCCTTCTTGACACTTGAGATTTATTTTGTCATTAGTGATGAAACATCATGCAAGGGCTCCCAATCCCAAACTATCAGAAGGACACTTAGGTATTTCGGGGAAGGTCACCCAAATATGCAGGTAATGACCCACAGTACTGAAGCTGTTATTTAGCGGCTCATTATTCTTAGTATGATTATAAATGATTTGTGTCTAGCATGAGCAGGTAGCCATCTGCTTGGATTAGGAAGGAAAAGATGGGGCCGCTTTGAGAGTAACAAAAAAATAGAAACTTTAATCAATTATTATATTATAGCTCAAAAACAAAACAAAAAAGAATGTTGAATCCATTTTGTTTTGTCCTCTAGAACCTAAAACCAGCTCTGCTAAAAATCAACCCATCCCTAAATCCTTCAATGTTCCTTAAACACATTATAGTCATTCTTTTCTTTGAACCTTTATCCAGTTATCCTTACCAGAAACATCTTTCTCTTGCCTTTCACCCAAACCGTGTACCTTGAATTTCACCTCCACAATTTTTGGGAGCACACCCCAGACTACTCTAGTTTCCATGAGTAACTTCTATATGTTCTCACCCACATTCTGATTTGTATTCTTTGTCAGTATTTCATGTGCATCGGTCTTATCTCTACAGCTCAGTTGTAATTTGACCCCCGGTAGGCACTATATTGTGTACATCTTACTCTGAAACTCCATCACACCACATTGTTCTAGGCACATTTCAAACAATCAGGAAAACCTAGCTAACGTAATTTGTATTTAACATAGGTGATTTAACCTAAACCCTTGTACCACTCACATACAGCTATGCAATTGAGGAACTAATATAAATCTGAAGTCCTGACCACAAGATCTTGAGTGTCCCAAGTAAGTGTGATAAATAGCCTACTTGAGACCTTTTGTCTAGAAGAATGATACCCAAATACACACATCTACAGAACAGACTTCAAAAAAAAGTTTCTACCAGCCAATAGTGAAATGCAAAAACAAACAAACAAACAAAAAAAAAAACCCAAGAAAAATAATATATGCCATTTTGTAAAGATTAATTTATTTGGCTTAAAGATCTTTTATTCTAAGGACATGTCTTTCCTATTATTTTAATGTAAATGTGTCTTTTGTTTTGTGAAATGACAGTGAGCATCAAAAGTGGTGTGTTTTGTTGCAATTATTATTTTTAAATGGCCTTCCTTAGTGAAATAAAAAGTTGGCCAATCCTCATTTTTTAAAAAAAATTAGAATTTAAAATCCTAAAAAACCAAGTGTCACTAGTATAAAACTCAAAATGGTCAGAACAATGTTTTGGAAATCTTGCACTCTGAAAAAATGCTAATAGGAAAATTAATGCACTAAACCGTGGCTCATAAAATGAAATTCTGACATGTAACAAAAGGGATGTCTCTTCATGCATGTAAGATGATTATGCAATGTGGCTTCAAATTCCTCAGCACTCTTCCCACAAGGAGCTGAAGTCTATGTTGACTTTCCTTGATTCTGGGCAACTACTTGACCAACAGAATATGACAGAAGTGATGCTATTTCATTTCCAAGCCTGGGTCATAAAAGGCCATGTAGCTTCTACCTTGCTCACTTAGGACAGGATCCCTGAGCTACCATCCAAGAAGTCTGGCTCCCCTGAGAACACCGTGCCGGCACCAGCCTCTACAGTCCCAGCTGAGCCCTGACAAAGGGCCGGCCATCTTGGACCCTCCAGAACAGTCCATCTGCCAGATAAACACCACTGAGTGATCCCTGATGGCAGTGAGAACAGAAGGATCACCCAGCCAACCTCTGTCCAAATTCCTAACCCATAAATAAAATATAATTTAAAATGTCATATCTAATAAAATGGATATTGTTCAAAAGCCATTACGTTTTTGGTCGTTTGTTACACAATAACACATACCTGGAATAGCACAGTCCCTACGACACTTCTAAACACATTGCTTCACTGGGATCCCCAAACAGTTTCTCACTTTTAGTTTTAGGGAAGATCAAAATGATTTAATTTGTTAATATTTCTTTTCTTACTGCAAATCATTCAAAAGAAGAACATAATAAGCAAACTCATTAAGGGAAACTCCCCTCCCCCGCTTACTTCCTACCATAAACTAAACGGCGAGTGAGAGGACCAGAAATCAGGCTAGGAAATTCTCCCTCCGGCTCCTGTCAAGTCTTTTTTCCAGGTAACTCAAGAAGAGATTTTGGGGGTTTTATTTTGTTTTAGGGAGGAAATTTTTGAAGTAGAAGGGAGAGAGGAATGAAGTACATGTCAAGCAGGATCGAAGCAGAGTGTGTTTTATGGGTGGTGGTGGTTGTGCGTGGTTTGGATTTACCATGGGAGTTCTGGCCATGACTCCAAGGAGAAGGAGCACAGAGCAAGCATTCTCTCCCCAGCAGAAGTATATTAATTAGTTCCTGGAGGGAAGAACTCCGGGACATAAACTCCATGTGCTCCGGAGCATGCCAACCACAATGTGGCTGATTCATAAACCTCAGCAGCGGGAAGAGACAGAACCACAGCTCTCCTTGGGAAACTAGGTAACAGATTCGCTACCAAGTTTCTCTCTCTACACCTGCCCTCAGCTAAACTGAGATTCTCAGGCCTCTCCACTTTTCCCATCTTGAGGCTCCACAACGCGGTAAATCTGTGATCACTTAAATCTCACAGCACAAATTTGCCTAAGCGTGTTAAACTTGGACTCACTGTGAGGAGGAGGGGGGAGCACCGCGCACACAGCATTGTTGCAGATAACAAACTGCTTCTTGGGGCCATGCTAGGGCCTCACAGCTGTGTTGGCAGATAAGCGGAACGGTGCAGTGTTCAGGGATCAGATTGTGCTATGCTTCTGTTCTCATCCACACCTTAGGACAATGCCGTCCTGCACTCACTGGAGACCTGCCCCACCCCAGTGGAGACAGGCTGACAGAGGAGCAGGGATGCTGTCCGACAAATCTCACAGGCTTTCAACATTTATTTATTTTGGGACAGAGAGAGACAGAGCATGAACGGGGGAGGGGCAGAGAGAGAGGGAGACACAGAATCGGAAACAGGCTCCAGGCTCTGAGCCATCAGCCCAGAGCCCGACGCGGGGCTCGAACTCCCGGTCACAGGCTTTCACTATTGCCTTTATTACTTACTGATTCCAACCCTGTCTCTCTCTCAATGTCCCACACACTGACTTTCCCAAAGAGAATCTGATTCAAGAAACACCCAGGTTGTATGGTGAGTTTTCATTTCAAAGCTTCCAAGTTCAGCTTTTGGAAATAATTTTGTGTAGGTTTCTAGATCTCTTGTCTTAATTGTTTAGCAATCTAAAAATCAATTACAGATAATTCTTGTAAAGTTCACCACACTCAGAATTAGTGTTCACCACACTCAGAATTAGCTTTGCACACAAAGCTGCCTAAGAATGTGGGCAAAATTTTAGCACTATTTAAGCCTTTGGTGTTAAATACAATTTCCTCTCTACAGTTCAACAATTATAACTGTCATTACTGTCTAAACATGCATAACTAAAAGAGATACATATATACACGTGCCTCTAAATACATATACACACATATATATACACATATACAAATATGTGTGTGTGTGTGTGTGTGTGTGTGTATGCCATCCTCCTAGTTTAAAGGATAAATGCTCTTTTTAATTGAATTATACCCAATCTCTAGAACATGTATGTAAAATCTAGTCATGGTCAGATTTCCTTTTGTTTAAAAATTTTTTTAAACGTTTATTTTTACTTTTGAGAGAAAGTGAGAGAGGGACAGAGACATGAAGCGGGGAAGGGCAGAGAGAGAGGGAGACACAGAATAGGAAGCAGGCTCCAGGCTCTGAGCTGTCAGCACAGAGCCCAATGCAGGGCTCAAACTCACAGACTGCTAGATCATGACCTGAGCTGAAGTTGGATACTTAACAGACCAAGCCACCCAGGCGCCCCAAGATTTCCATTTGTTTTATAATGAAGAGTGCTAGAGATTAGCATTTTAGACACCCTACCGTTGTTAGCAAACTCTCACCTCTAGAGGGAGCCAAAGACTCCCCCCTCTTTCACCCACCAAGGAAGGAGACCTCTGATTCTGCGAAGCACAAAATGGAAACTTTGGACACTTAAAAATGAGGCCAGTGTAGTCCAGGTGGAAAACGATTTCTCATTTGGATCATCTCTGTTCCATGTACAGTATTCTTCCGTATCATCTCCTGCCCCAACACCCCCTTCCCTTCCTCTTGCTCTGCCTCTAGCTTCTCTCAGCAACTGAGAGACTTCACCTTGCTTGAAACCTGGTAAGCTAGCCTACCAGTTTCATGGATGCAGGTAAAGGACAAAAAGCTCCAGGTAAGAGACAAAGACTTTCATGCTCACAGCAACAGTAATCACCGGGCTCAGCTTGTGTGCTGACCAAGAAGGAATGGAACAGACACCTCTAGCCTGCCTCTAGCCTTGGTGTCATGCCGAACAAAGGGGAGCTCGGCTCATCAGGCTAGGAGACCACATCCACATTTGAAAACACTCTCATCTAGTAACAAAATGTGTACAGGTCTGTAGAAGGGATCAACAAATTATGTTTTTGTGCCGCTAAGAAGGGTGGGCTAAGGATGTTTTTTTTCCATTTTAAAAGGGTTATAACAACAATGTGCCAGAGATCACAGGTGGCCCAAGAAGCCGAAAGTATTTGCTATCTGACCCTTTGTAGAAAAAGTTTGCTGATCCCTGCTCTCTAGCATCCTCTGTATTTGGGGCCCTGTCAGGGTATGGGGGAGAGGGGCGGTATGCCAAACAGAAGATTCAGGATCTCTCTCTCTCTCTTCTCTTTCTTCTTTCTTTCCTCTTTCTCCTCTTTCTTGTTCCATCAGAGGCACCAATGGCAGGCCTGATGGAACAGGGGCATTATGAGATGATCTT